CTAATTATTCATCCGTCCAGCCATGCATATTCTACAACTCACCCGATCCCACAGGTCTTCCTCCATGGTCACAGAGAGAGACGTCCACGGCCACACGTTCGTCGTGTTGGACGCTGCTGTCTGTGAGACTGTGACTCTAATTATTCATCCGTCCATCCATGCATATTCTACAACTCACCCGATCCCACAGGTCTTCCTCCATGGTCACAGAGAGAGACGTCCACGGCCACACGTTCGTCGTGTTGGACGCTGCTGTCTGTGAGACTGTGACCCTAATTATTCATCCGTCCATCCATGCATATTCTACAACTCACCCGATCCCACAGGTCTTCCTCCATGGTCACAGAGAGAGACGTCCACGGCCACACGTTCGTCGTGTTGGACGCTGCTGTCTGTGAGACTGTGACTCTAATTATTCATCCGTCCATCCATGCATATTCTACAACTCACCCGATCCCACAGGTCTTCCTCCATGGTCACAGAGAGAGACGTCCACAGCCACACGTTCGTCGTGTTGGACGCTGCTGTCTGTGAGACTGTGACTCTAATTATTCATCCGTCCATCCATGCATATTCTACAACTCACCCGATCCCACAGGTCTTCCTCCATGGTCACAGAGAGAGACGTCCACGGCCACACGTTCGTCGTGTTGGACGCTGCTGTCTGTGAGACTGTGACTCTAATTATTCATCCGTCCATCCATGCATATTCTACAACCCACCCGATCCCACAGGTCTTCCTCCATGGTCACAGAGAGAGACGTCCACGGCCACACGTTCGTCGTGTTGGACGCTGCTGTCTGTGAGACTGTGACTCTAATTATTCATCCGTCCATCCATGCATATTCTACAACTCACCCGATCCCACAGGTCTTCCTCCATGGTCACAGAGAGAGACGTCCACGGCCACACGTTCGTCGTGTTGGACGCTGCTGTCTGTGAGACTGTGACTCTAATTATTCATCCGTCCATCCATGCATATTCTACAACTCACCCGATCCCACAGGTCTTCCTCCATGGTCACAGAGAGAGACGTCCACGGCCACACGTTCGTCGTGTTGGACGCTGCTGTCTGTGAGACTGTGACTCTAATTATTCATCCGTCCATCCATGCATATTCTACAACTCACCCGATCCCACAGGTCTTCCTCCATGGTCACAGAGAGAGACGTCCACGGCCACACGTTCGTCGTGTTGGACGCTGCTGTCTGTGAGACTGTGACTCTAATTATTCATCCGTCCATCCATGCATATTCTACAACTCACCCGATCCCACAGGTCTTCCTCCATGGTCACAGAGAGAGACGTCCACGGCCACACGTTCGTCGTGTTGGACGCTGCTGTCTGTGAGACTGTGACTCTAATTATTCATCCGTCCATCCATGCATATTCTACAACTCACCCGATCCCACAGGTCTTCCTCCATGGTCACAGAGAGAGACGTCCACGGCCACACGTTCGTCGTGTTGGACGCTGCTGTCTGTGAGACTGTGACTCTAATTATTCATCCGTCCATCCATGCATATTCTACAACTCACCCGATCCCACAGGTCTTCCTCCATGGTCACCGAGAGAGACGTCCACGGCCACACGTTCGTCGTGTTGGACGCTGCTGTCTGTGGGACTGTGACTCTAATTATTCATCCGTCCATCCATGCATATTCTACAACTCACCCGATCCCACAGGTCTTCCTCCATGGTCACAGAGAGAGACGTCCACGGCCACACGTTCGTCGTGTTGGACGCTGCTGTCTGTGAGACTGTGACTCTAATTATTCATCCGTCCATCCATGCATATTCTACAACTCACCCGATCCCACAGGTCTTCCTCCATGGTCACAGAGAGAGACGTCCACAGCCACACGTTCGTCGTGTTGGACGCTGCTGTCTGTGAGACTGTGACTCTAATTATTCATCCGTCCATCCATGCATATTCTACAACTCACCCGATCCCACAGGTCTTCCTCCATGGTCACAGAGAGAGACGTCCACGGCCACACGTTCGTCGTGTTGGACGCTGCTGTCTGTGAGACTGTGACTCTAATTATTCATCCGTCCATCCATGCATATTCTACAACCCACCCGATCCCACAGGTCTTCCTCCATGGTCACAGAGAGAGACGTCCACGGCCACACGTTCGTCGTGTTGGACGCTGCTGTCTGTGAGACTGTGACTCTAATTATTCATCCGTCCATCCATGCATATTCTACAACTCACCCGATCCCACAGGTCTTCCTCCATGGTCACAGAGAGAGACGTCCACGGCCACACGTTCGTCGTGTTGGACGCTGCTGTCTGTGAGACTGTGACTCTAATTATTCATCCGTCCATCCATGCATATTCTACAACTCACCCGATCCCACAGGTCTTCCTCCATGGTCACAGAGAGAGACGTCCACGGCCACACGTTCGTCGTGTTGGACGCTGCTGTCTGTGAGACTGTGACTCTAATTATTCATCCGTCCATCCATGCATATTCTACAACTCACCCGATCCCACAGGTCTTCCTCCATGGTCACAGAGAGAGACGTCCACGGCCACACGTTCGTCGTGTTGGACGCTGCTGTCTGTGAGACTGTGACTCTAATTATTCATCCGTCCATCCATGCATATTCTACAACTCACCCGATCCCACAGGTCTTCCTCCATGGTCACAGAGAGAGACGTCCACGGCCACACGTTCGTCGTGTTGGACGCTGCTGTCTGTGAGACTGTGACTCTAATTATTCATCCGTCCATCCATGCATATTCTACAACTCACCCGATCCCACAGGTCTTCCTCCATGGTCACAGAGAGAGACGTCCACGGCCACACGTTCGTCGTGTTGGACGCTGCTGTCTGTGAGACTGTGACTCTAATTATTCATCCGTCCATCCATGCATATTCTACAACTCACCCGATCCCACAGGTCTTCCTCCATGGTCACCGAGAGAGACGTCCACGGCCACACGTTCGTCGTGTTGGACGCTGCTGTCTGTGAGACTGTGACTCTAATTATTCATCCGTCCATCCATGCATATTCTACAACTCACCCGATCCCACAGGTCTTCCTCCATGGTCACAGAGAGAGACGTCCACGGCCACACGTTCGTCGTGTTGGACGCTGCTGTCTGTGAGACTGTGACTCTAATTATTCATCCGTCCATCCATGCATATTCTACAACTCACCCGATCCCACAGGTCTTCCTCCATGGTCACAGAGAGAGACGTCCACGGCCACACGTTCGTCGTGTTGGACGCTGCTGTCTGTGAGACTGTGACTCTAATTATTCATCCGTCCATCCATGCATATTCTACAACTCACCCGATCCCACAGGTCTTCCTCCATGGTCACAGAGAGAGACGTCCACGGCCACACGTTCGTCGTGTTGGACGCTGCTGTCTGTGAGACTGTGACTCTAATTATTCATCCGTCCATCCATGCATATTCTACAACTCACCCGATCCCACAGGTCTTCCTCCATGGTCACCGAGAGAGACGTCCACGGCCACACGTTCGTCGTGTTGGACGCTGCTGTCTGTGGGACTGTGACTCTAATTATTCTTCCGTCCATCCATGCATATTCTACAACTCACCCGATCCCACAGGTCTTCCTCCATGGTCACAGAGAGAGACGTCCACGGCCACACGTTCGTCGTGTTGGACGCTGCTGTCTGTGAGACTGTGACTCTAATTATTCATCCGTCCATCCATGCATATTCTACAACTCACCCGATCCCACAGGTCTTCCTCCATGGTCACAGAGAGAGACGTTCACGGCCACACGTTCGTCGTGTTGGACGCTGCTGTCTGTGAGACTGTGACTCTAATTATTCATCCGTCCATCCATGCATATTCTACAACTCACCCGATCCCACAGGTCTTCCTCCATGGTCACAGAGAGAGACGTCCACGGCCACACGTTCGTCGTGTTGGACGCTGCTGTCTGTGAGACTGTGACTCTAATTATTCATCCGTCCATCCATGCATATTCTACAACTCACCCGATCCCACAGGTCTTCCTCCATGGTCACAGAGAGAGACGTCCACGGCCACACGTTCGTCGTGTTGGACGCTGCTGTCTGTGAGACTGTGACTCTAATTATTCATCCGTCCATCCATGCATATTCTACAACTCACCCGATCCCACAGGTCTTCCTCCATGGTCACAGAGAGAGACGTCCACGGCCACACGTTCGTCGTGTTGGACGCTGCTGTCTGTGAGACTGTGACTCTAATTATTCATCCGTCCATCCATGCATATTCTACAACTCACCCGATCCCACAGGTCTTCCTCCATGGTCACAGAGAGAGACGTCCACGGCCACACGTTCGTCGTGTTGGACGCTGCTGTCTGTGAGACTGTGACTCTAATTATTCATCCGTCCATCCATGCATATTCTACAACTCACCCGATCCCACAGGTCTTCCTCCATGGTCACACAGAGAGACGTCCACGGCCACACGTTCGTCGTGTTGGACGCTGCTGTCTGTAAGACTGTGACTCTAATTATTCATCCGTCCATCCATGCATATTCTACAACTCACCCGATCCCACAGGTCTTCCTCCATGGTCACAGAGAGAGACGTCCACGGCCACACGTTCGTCGTGTTGGACGCTGCTGTCTGTGAGACTGTGACTCTAATTATTCATCCGTCCATCCATGCATATTCTACAACTCACCCGATCCCACAGGTCTTCCTCCATGGTCACAGAGAGAGACGTCCACGGCCACACGTTCGTCGTGTCCGTCGGCACCAAGTTCCGATAAATACTGCTGCTGCTATGGTGTTGTTTTCTGGTCAGCTTGGTGACTTGTTCTCGGCACTGCTCTCTGCGCTGCTTGTATCGCTCGCAAGCACACCTTAGCTTACACGCCACTCACCCGATCCCACAGGTCTTCCTCCATGGTCACAGAGAGAGACGTCCACGGCCACCCGTTCCTCGTGTCCGTCGGCACCAGATTCCCTCCCGTAATGCTCTGCCATGTATAACTGCCTGCTGCCTGCAGTGCTGCCTAGTGATCCCTACCTCGTGCTACAATGTCCACGCCACTCACCCGGTCCCAGAGGTCTTCCTCCATGGTCACCGAGAGAGACGTCCACGGCCACACGTTCCTCGTGTCCGTCGGCACCAGGTTCCTGTAATGCTCCCGCATCTTCCGCCGGGCGGCGTACAGCGTCTCATCCGGCAGCTGCTTGAGGTCCAGCCCCATGCTGCGCCCGGAGATGTGCACTGAGAACTCGTACATGGACAGCACGCGGTCGAGAGGCTCTCGGAAGAGGGTTGTGACGCCCGTGGCAGCACCGGGAGGGAGTTGAGTGGTCATTCCTTAGTCGTCGTGTGTGGCTAGAAGCCGACACCCCATGCTGGTGGGAGGGCGTGGGGAGGGGATAGAAGTGGGGGATGGGGCAGGGTGAGAAGCGTGGTGACGCACTGACGCCCGTCTCATCCGGCAGCTGCTTGAGGTCCAGCCCCATGCTGCGCCTGGAGATGTGCACTGAGAACTCGTACATGGACAGCACGCGATCGAGTGGCTTTCGGAAGAGCGTGGTTACTCCCGTGGCGACGGCACAGCATGGCATGGCACAGCATGTCATGTTGCAGTGCATGTGTTTTTTGAGAATTCTCAAAAAACACACGCATGTGTATGCTGTATTGCGTACTGGGCTTAGGCCTGCGTGAGCAACAGCAAGGAAAGTGTTGCTGCTCACTAGAAAAATTGCAGATCGAGGCACACTGAACAACGGACATAGGAAGGCACAGTTTCGAAAAGTCTCAAATGTCAACAAGAGGCAAACTGAGCCACGGACATAGGCTAGCATAGCACTTGTGACTCACGTGGGGTCGTCTCGTAGCACGTGGTATGACATGTTGCACTGCACGGTGCTGGGCATGAGGGTGCTCAGAAAGCTGTGAAGAACCACCAGGGTGGAAGGTAAGGGAGGGAGAAAGGGCGCAAGGGAGCAAGGGCGCAAGGGAGCAAGGGCGCAAGGGAGCAAGGGCGCAAGGGAGCAAGGGCGCAAGGGAGCAAGGGCGCAAGGGCGAAAGGGCGCAAGGGAGCAAGGGCGCAAGGGCGCAAGGGCGCAAGGGCGCAAGGGAGCAAGGGCGCAAGGGCGCAAGGGAGCAAGGGCGCAAGGGCGCAAGGGAGCAAGGGCGCAAGGGCGCAAGGGCGCAAGGGAGCAAGGGCGCAAGGGCGCAAGGGAGCAAGGGCGCAAGGGCGCAAGGGAGCAAGGGCGCAAGGGCGCAAGGGAGCAAGGGCGCAAGGGCGCAAGGGAGCAAGGGCGCAAGGGCGCAAGGGAGCAAGGGCGCAAGGGCGCAAGGGCGCAAGGGAGCAAGGGCGCAAGGGCGCAAGGGCGCAAGGGAGCAAGGGCGCAAGGGCGCAAGGGCGCAAGGGAGCAAGGGAGCAAGGGCGCAAGGGCGCAAGGGAGCAAGGGAGCAAGGGAGCAAGGGAGCAAGGGCGCAAGGGAGCAAGGGAGCAAGGGCGCAAGGGAGCAAGGGCGCAAGGGCGCAAGGGCGCAAGGGCGCAAGGGCGCAAGGGAGCAAGGGCGCAAGGGCGCAAGGGAGCAAGGGCGCAAGGGCGCAAGGGCGCAAGGGAGCAAGGGCGCAAGGGCGCAAGGGAGCAAGGGCGCAAGGGCGCAAGGGAGCAAGGGCGCAAGGGCGCAAGGGAGCAAGGGCGCAAGGGCGCAAGGGAGCAAGGGCGCAAGGGCGCAAGGGAGCAAGGGCGCAAGGGCGCAAGGGCGCAAGGGAGCAAGGGCGCAAGGGCGCAAGGGCGCAAGGGAGCAAGGGCGCAAGGGCGCAAGGGCGCAAGGGAGCAAGGGAGCAAGGGCGCAAGGGCGCAAGGGAGCAAGGGAGCAAGGGAGCAAGGGAGCAAGGGCGCAAGGGAGCAAGGGAGCAAGGGCGCAAGGGAGCAAGGGCGCAAGGGCGCAAGGGCGCAAGGGCGCAAGGGCGCAAGGGAGCAAGGGCGCAAGGGAGCAAGGGCGCAAGGGAGCAAGGGCGCAAGGGCGCAAGGGCGCAAGGGAGAAAGGGCGCAAGGGAGCAAGGGCGCAAGGGCGCAAGGGCGCAAGGGCGCAAGGGAGCAAGGGCGCAAGGGCGCAAGGGCGCAAGGGAGCAAGGGCGCAAGGGCGCAAGGGCGCAAGGGAGCAAGGGCGCAAGGGAGCAAGGGCGCAAGGGCGCAAGGGCACAAGGGCGCAAGGGAGCAAGGGCGCAAGGGCGCAAGGGCGCAAGGGCGCAAGGGCGCAAGGGAGCAAGGGCGCAAGGGAGCAAGGGCGCAAGGGCGCAAGGGAGCAAGGGCGCAAGGGCGCAAGGGAGCAAGGGCGCAAGGGCGCAAGGGAGCAAGGGCGCAAGGGCGCAAGGGAGCAAGGGCGCAAGGGCGCAAGGGAGCAAGGGCGCAAGGGCGCAAGGGCGCAAGGGAGCAAGGGCGCAAGGGCGCAAGGGCGCAAGGGAGCAAGGGCGCAAGGGCGCAAGGGCGCAAGGGAGCAAGGGAGCAAGGGCGCAAGGGCGCAAGGGAGCAAGGGAGCAAGGGAGCAAGGGAGCAAGGGCGCAAGGGAGCAAGGGAGCAAGGGCGCAAGGGAGCAAGGGCGCAAGGGCGCAAGGGCGCAAGGGCGCAAGGGCGCAAGGGAGCAAGGGCGCAAGGGCGCAAGGGCGCAAGGGCGCAAGGGAGCAAGGGCGCAAGGGCGCAAGGGAGCAAGGGCGCAAGGGCGCAAGGGAGCAAGGGCGCAAGGGCGCAAGGGAGCAAGGGCGCAAGGGCGCAAGGGAGCAAGGGCGCAAGGGCGCAAGGGAGCAAGGGCGCAAGGGCGCAAGGGCGCAAGGGAGCAAGGGCGCAAGGGCGCAAGGGCGCAAGGGCGCAAGGGAGCAAGGGCGCAAGGGCGCAAGGGCGCAAGGGAGCAAGGGAGCAAGGGCGCAAGGGCGCAAGGGAGCAAGGGAGCAAGGGAGCAAGGAAGCAAGGGCGCAAGGGAGCAAGGGAGCAAGGGCGCAAGGGAGCAAGGGCGCAAGGGCGCAAGGGCGCAAGGGCGCAAGGGCGCAAGGGAGCAAGGGCGCAAGGGAGCAAGGGAGCAAGGGCGCAAGGGAGCAAGGGCGCAAGGGCGCAAGGGCGCAAGGGCGCAAGGGCGCAAGGGAGCAAGGGCGCAAGGGCGCAAGGGCGCAAGGGCGCAAGGGAGCAAGGGCGCAAGGGCGCAAGGGCGCAAGGGAGCAAGGGCGCAAGGGCGCAAGGGAGCAAGGGCGCAAGGGCGCAAGGGAGCAAGGGCGCAAGGGCGCAAGGGAGCAAGGGCGCAAGGGCGCAAGGGAGCAAGGGCGCAAGGGCGCAAGGGCGCAAGGGAGCAAGGGCGCAAGGGCGCAAGGGCGCAAGGGAGCAAGGGCGCAAGGGCGCAAGGGCGCAAGGGAGCAAGGGAGCAAGGGCGCAAGGGCGCAAGGGAGCAAGGGAGCAAGGGAGCAAGGGAGCAAGGGCGCAAGGGAGCAAGGGAGCAAGGGCGCAAGGGAGCAAGGGCGCAAGGGCGCAAGGGAGCAAGGGAGCAAGGGAGCAAGGGAGCAAGGGCGCAAGGGAGCAAGGGAGCAAGGGCGCAAGGGAGCAAGGGCGCAAGGGCGCAAGGGCGCAAGGGCGCAAGGGCGCAAGGGAGCAAGGGCGCAAGGGCGCAAGGGAGCAAGGGCGCAAGGGCGCAAGGGCGCAAGGGAGCAAGGGCGCAAGGGCGCAAGGGAGCAAGGGCGCAAGGGCGCAAGGGAGCAAGGGCGCAAGGGCGCAAGGGAGCAAGGGCGCAAGGGCGCAAGGGAGCAAGGGCGCAAGGGCGCAAGGGAGCAAGGGCGCAAGGGCGCAAGGGCGCAAGGGAGCAAGGGCACAAGGGCGCAAGGGCGCAAGGGAGCAAGGGCGCAAGGGCGCAAGGGCGCAAGGGAGCAAGGGAGCAAGGGCGCAAGGGCGCAAGGGAGCAAGGGAGCAAGGGAGCAAGGGAGCAAGGGCGCAAGGGAGCAAGGGAGCAAGGGCGCAAGGGAGCAAGGGCGCAAGGGCGCAAGGGCGCAAGGGCGCAAGGGCGCAAGGGAGCAAGGGCGCAAGGGAGCAAGGGCGCAAGGGAGCAAGGGCGCAAGGGAGCAAGGGCGCAAGGGCGCAAGGGCGCAAGGGAGCAAGGGCGCAAGGGAGCAAGGGCGCAAGGGCGCAAGGGCGCAAGGGCGCAAGGGAGCAAGGGCGCAAGGGCGCAAGGGCGCAAGGGAGCAAGGGCGCAAGGGAGCAAGGGCGCAAGGGCGCAAGGGCGCAAGGGCGCAAGGGAGCAAGGGCGCAAGGGCGCAAGGGCGCAAGGGAGCAAGGGCGCAAGGGAGCAAGGGCGCAAGGGAGCAAGGGCGCAAGGGCGCAAGGGAGCAAGGGCACAAGGGCGCAAGGGTGCAAGGGCGCAAGGGCGCAAGGGAGCAAGGGCGCAAGGGCGCAAGGGAGCAAGGGCGCAAGGGCGCAAGGGAGCAAGGGCGCAAGGGCGCAAGGGAGCAAGGGCGCAAGGGCGCAAGGGCGCAAGGGAGCAAGGGCGCAAGGGCGCAAGGGCGCAAGGGAGCAAGGGCGCAAGGGCGCAAGGGCGCAAGGGCGCAAGGGAGCAAGGGAGCAAGGGCGCAAGGGCGCAAGGGAGCAAGGGAGCAAGGGAGCAAGGGAGCAAGGGAGCAAGGGCGCAAGGGAGCAAGGGAGCAAGGGCGCAAGGGAGCAAGGGCGCAAGGGCGCAAGGGCGCAAGGGCGCAAGGGCGCAAGGGAGCAAGGGCGCAAGGGCGCAAGGGCGCAAGGGCGCAAGGGCGCAAGGGCGCAAGGGCGCAAGGGCGCAAGGGCGCAAGGGAGCAAGGGCGCAAGGGCGCAAGGGAGCAAGGGCGCAAGGGCGCAAGGGAGCAAGGGCGCAAGGGCGCAAGGGAGCAAGGGCGCAAGGGCGCAAGGGCGCAAGGGAGCAAGGGCGCAAGGGCGCAAGGGCGCAAGGGAGCAAGGGCGCAAGGGCGCAAGGGCGCAAGGGAGCAAGGGAGCAAGGGCGCAAGGGCGCAAGGGAGCAAGGGCGCAAGGGAGCAAGGGAGCAAGGGCGCAAGGGAGCAAGGGCGCAAGGGCGCAAGGGAGCAAGGGAGCAAGGGAGCAAGGGAGCAAGGGCGCAAGGGAGCAAGGGAGCAAGGGCGCAAGGGAGCAAGGGCGCAAGGGCGCAAGGGCGCAAGGGCGCAAGGGCGCAAGGGAGCAAGGGCGCAAGGGCGCAAGGGAGCAAGGGCGCAAGGGCGCAAGGGCGCAAGGGAGCAAGGGCGCAAGGGCGCAAGGGAGCAAGGGCGCAAGGGCGCAAGGGAGCAAGGGCGCAAGGGCGCAAGGGAGCAAGGGCGCAAGGGCGCAAGGGAGCAAGGGCGCAAGGGCGCAAGGGAGCAAGGGCGCAAGGGCGCAAGGGCGCAAGGGAGCAAGGGCACAAGGGCGCAAGGGCGCACGGGAGCAAGGGCGCAAGGGCGCAAGGGCGCAAGGGAGCAAGGGAGCAAGGGCGCAAGGGCGCAAGGGAGCAAGGGAGCAAGGGAGCAAGGGAGCAAGGGCGCAAGGGAGCAAGGGAGCAAGGGCGCAAGGGAGCAAGGGCGCAAGGGCGCAAGGGCGCAAGGGCGCAAGGGCGCAAGGGAGCAAGGGCGCAAGGGAGCAAGGGCGCAAGGGAGCAAGGGCGCAAGGGAGCAAGGGCGCAAGGGCGCAAGGGCGCAAGGGAGCAAGGGCGCAAGGGAGCAAGGGCGCAAGGGCGCAAGGGCGCAAGGGCGCAAGGGAGCAAGGGCGCAAGGGCGCAAGGGCGCAAGGGAGCAAGGGCGCAAGGGAGCAAGGGCGCAAGGGCGCAAGGGCGCAAGGGCGCAAGGGAGCAAGGGCGCAAGGGCGCAAGGGCGCAAGGGAGCAAGGGCGCAAGGGAGCAAGGGCGCAAGGGAGCAAGGGCGCAAGGGCGCAAGGGAGCAAGGGCACAAGGGCGCAAGGGTGCAAGGGCGCAAGGGCGCAAGGGAGCAAGGGCGCAAGGGCGCAAGGGAGCAAGGGCGCAAGGGCGCAAGGGAGCAAGGGCGCAAGGGCGCAAGGGAGCAAGGGCGCAAGGGCGCAAGGGCGCAAGGGAGCAAGGGCGCAAGGGCGCAAGGGCGCAAGGGAGCAAGGGCGCAAGGGCGCAAGGGCGCAAGGGAGCAAGGGAGCAAGGGCGCAAGGGCGCAAGGGAGCAAGGGAGCAAGGGAGCAAGGGAGCAAGGGAGCAAGGGCGCAAGGGAGCAAGGGAGCAAGGGCGCAAGGGAGCAAGGGCGCAAGGGCGCAAGGGCGCAAGGGCGCAAGGGCGCAAGGGAGCAAGGGCGCAAGGGCGCAAGGGCGCAAGGGCGCAAGGGAGCAAGGGCGCAAGGGCGCAAGGGCGCAAGGGAGCAAGGGCGCAAGGGCGCAAGGGAGCAAGGGCGCAAGGGCGCAAGGGAGCAAGGGCGCAAGGGCGCAAGGGAGCAAGGGCGCAAGGGCGCAAGGGCGCAAGGGAGCAAGGGCGCAAGGGCGCAAGGGCGCAAGGGAGCAAGGGCGCAAGGGCGCAAGGGCGCAAGGGAGCAAGGGAGCAAGGGCGCAAGGGCGCAAGGGAGCAAGGGAGCAAGGGAGCAAGGGAGCAAGGGCGCAAGGGAGCAAGGGAGCAAGGGCGCAAGGGAGCAAGGGCGCAAGGGCGCAAGGGCGCAAGGGCGCAAGGGCGCAAGGGAGCAAGGGCGCAAGGGAGCAAGGGCGCAAGGGAGCAAGGGCGCAAGGGAGCAAGGGCGCAAGGGCGCAAGGGCGCAAGGGAGCAAGGGCGCAAGGGAGCAAGGGCGCAAGGGCGCAAGGGCGCAAGGGCGCAAGGGAGCAAGGGCGCAAGGGCGCAAGGGCACAAGGGAGCAAGGGCGCAAGGGAGCAAGGGCGCAAGGGAGCAAGGGCGCAAGGGAGCAAGGGCGCAAGGGCGCAAGGGCGCAAGGGAGCAAGGGCGCAAGGGAGCAAGGGCGCAAGGGCGCAAGGGAGCAAGGGAAGTCCTTGAGTTGATTCAAGAGTCACATGTTGCATGGCATGGTGCTGGGCGTGTCCAGGAAGCTGCGGTATACAAAACATTATTTATAAGAACATCGTGCCGTGACGTCATCGCACGCACCTTAGACAATCACACCCACCACTGGTGATACGCCCTCCCCCCCGTGCGAGCCACATGGAGAAAGAAGCGCGTCTGCGAAATGGGGCTCTCGCCATTGCTCACCTACTCCTCTCGCTGCCACTGCACCTCCTACTATCACACCCCATAAGCACCGCAGTGTAACAATCACATCACGCCCACTACTGGTGATACGTTCTCCCACGTCCATCCACCCACTCCTCCACCTCTGCCACTGTACCTCATACTGTCACACGGCATGACAATCACATCCTTGTAATCACATCACACGCACCACTGGTGATAAGTCCTCCCTCCCGCTCGAGCCACGCAGAGAAAGGAGAGCGTCTGTGGCATGGGGATTTCCCTCCCGCTGTCCGCTCCTCCCGCTGCCACTGCACCTCCGCTGTCTCAGCCTCTGGACATCCACCCACTCCTCCACCTCTTCCACTGCACCTGCTACTACCACACCTCATAACAATCACATCTTTATGATAACATCATACGCACCACTGGTGATACGTCCTCCCTCCTGCTCGAGCCACATGCAGGAAGAAAAGAGTCTGCGGCATGGGGCTCTCGCCATTAGCCATCCGTTCCTCCCGCTGCCACTGCACCTCCGCTGTCTCTGCCATCTGAACATCCACCCACTCCTCCACCTCCGCCGCACACCAAGCGTAGTCCAGCTTGGGAGGCGGCTCAGTTTGCCCGTAGCGCAGCGCTGCTGCTGCGGGGACGAGGGCGAGGAAGACCACTGGCGCAAGGGTGGGAGGGGGGAACGGGGAGAGGGAGCGACGGGGGAGTGTAGAGGCGGGATGGGACGGGGTGAGATGGGGGTGGGGGGCGGAGGGAGTGGGAGGTCAAAATTAGTAACATTTCAGGCTCGGTTTGAGTTGTACGGCCGGGTTGGTCCGGGGGGAGGTGGAAGATGGGGGAAAGGGGGGCTGGGATCGCGCGGGGGTGCGGAAGAGGGAAGAAGGGATGCAAGGATATGAGAGGCATTGGAAGGTTTTGAAATCATTCATGAGTAAACGAAGAGGCAAACGTGTCTAGTCACCGCGTTCCACGTGATATGCTTCTGAGGCTTCTCAACAAGGAAAGAAGTTCTAAAATTCCTTGCGGGAGCACAATGCGGTGGCGACAACTCAACTAGGGCGACAATGCCAGGAAAAGCTTATCGCATTTGCTTTATCGAGGAAAAGATGGGTCTAGCCGCAGTGTGAACTGAATAACTGTGCGTAAGTCGTTGACGAGGTGTAAACTAAATCGCAAGCATTGACGTGGAAACATTGACGTTGACGAGGAGCGTTGACGGTGACGAGGAAACAATAACGTTGACAAGGAACGTTGACGAGGAATGATTCGCGCACAGACCATGTGAATTTGAGACATCTCGAAATTTCTACCATATGAAGAGGTAGCATTGACGGAATGTGTGGGGGTTTGAGTGCAACGACACGGTTCGTACCTTGACTCTCACACTTCTAGTAAACCGATCAATAAATAGTAAAAAACGTGGAATACATAACAGAAAAAAATGACCCCAGTCCTACCCAATACGACGGCGATCCACATCGCCGCAGCGCGAGGGGGAGGCATTGCTACCACTAGTCTCGAGGAAGCCATTTTCGGAGTCATTCAAATGATACGGCTGAAAACATGGAGCAAAGTGGAAGCTCAGACATTGCTGAGGGGAATCAGAGGTTTCTCCAGGCGAGTCCATAAGAGCAACTTTTACTCACTAAAAGCGGTAGAGAACGATGTTGTGCGCTCTGGAATGGTTGCTTTGCATCACCGTTTTCAACCGCTGCTTACCAGCCTGAACATTCACAAGCGAAGTCTCGTGGCTGACCAGATATTCTCGGGGCTAAGCAACCCAATCTTGAGAATGCCGACGGTCAAGTCCAGACAATGACGATGAGGAACCTGCTGGCGAGTAATGAGATTACGCACGGCGAGTGTAGTAAAAAGTATAACATCCTGTAAAAACAATTGCACCACTAGAGCGACATCATTTAATTAAGTCAACTGAAAAGGCAATAAATCTGTCTTTGATGGGTGTCTAGGGCTGGCTGGCGGGTTTCGTTTCTAGTGAGATGCTTGTGGTGGAGAAATGGGCTACCATACCGTACTGGGTGTCAATGCTGCTGCATACCAGGTCAATTAATGTGAAGGGTTTCTCATTCCATCTTCAAAGAATAAACGAATCAGCCTGCTTATCTATAAACCTAGCATCCAAAGCAGCCCACTGTATAATAAAAGTATAAAAGCTGTCACCGAGTCAACCCTTTAGGGGGATTGTTGCACGGGCATAACCTTCCTGGCTCGGCTATACGCGGTATAAGCGCAGTCCACAGCGAGCACATCACTCGCCTCATATAACCTGGGTGTGCCATCCAAAAATCCCTTCCCCTCCGCGGCGTCAGCCGAAATGGGACGGTGCAGGCTGGCGATCAAGCGCTGGAAATCGGCAGCGCGCTGCGTATGATCCGCACGGTATGTCTGCCCCAACACACCATGAATCTCCTCTGTGTGCTCCAGCTCGGCAATCCCGACGTTGATGTGCGCCTCGGCGTCGGTCGGGGTCTGCAGCTTCGGGTGCGCGACGCGCAGGCGCAGATCCAGCGAAATCAGACCGTCGATCGTCAGCATGTAGTAATCCACATCGAACGGTCCTTCCTTCTCGAGCCCGCGGAAGTGAACCGTCAGGCCGCCGCCGGTCGTCACCGTGTCGCCAACCTTCATCCTCGGGATCTCCTCGCCGTCAATCTCGATGCTCTTCATGAACCCGTCGCCGCGCTCCTGCTGCTTGCCGCCGCGCGCCGCGAGCCGAACCTTGTGATCCGCGCCCTGAGCGGTCCAGACGATGCCAAGCTCCTTAATCCACGTGAGCACGGCCTTTCCGTCAACCACGAGCGCGGCATTATCGGTGCGCTCATCATAGTACCCCCTCAGCAGCATGTTCACGTGAAGGTCGCGGTCCGTGAGCAGGCAGAACGCCTTGTCGGGGCGGCCGTTGAAGTCGAAATGCGTGCCGTGCGCGCCCACCAAATGCGGGTCGTTGAGGATCTTCGCGCTAGGGTTGCACTCTCCGCCGATGCGCACCTGCAGATTCACCGGCTTCGTTTCCGTCGAATACTGCGCGGTCATCTCTCCGCAGGTGAAGTCAATCTGATCGTGGATCAGATAACACGCGCCCTTGCCCTTCTTCCCGTCGATGGTAATATCGGGGATGTACTGCCAGTACGTGCAGAGCGGCGTCGCGGCGCAGGTGTTACAACACGAAGCAGGGTTCGCCTTGAGCAGGGTCAGCGGGTTACCCGGCACGTACAGCTCGTAACCGAGCTTGTTCTTCTGCAGATAAGCAGTTTTCCACTTAGCGGCGATGCCGCCCTTGGAGCAGTTTTTCGGCGTGCAAGCTCCCGCAAGCTCCTTGTTCAATCCAGGCGGGCACTTCTGCGCGTTCCATCCCGCCTTCTTCACATCAGCCATGAAGAACGAATCCTGCGCGGTATCCACGTAGGTGACTCCCGCCGCGTTGCCCGACGCGGCCTGCTTCGCGATGTCCGCGGGGAGTTCGGTCATGAGCCCGTCGTCCTTCTTGCTGCTCTGGTCGGGTTTCTCGTTCGCCGTGGCGCTGGTCAGGGGGCTGCCGGCGCGGGCGACTGCGAGCAGCAGCGCCAGGGACAGCGCGAGAAGCGCGGCTCTAGCCATTCTGGGAACCGAAACTGCAAAGCTGGGAGAGTCGTAATTAGAAACAAGGTTCTGCGTTGCGTCGTATAGAAGTACAATACAGAAGTAGGAGTACCGCGTGGAGTTGAATTCTGTTCTATCGCGTGGCGACTTTGGAAGGAAATGGTGGGGCATGAGCATTTGTAGGGAACATAGGTAGGGAGGGAGACCGAGCAACCGAGTCGCGGCTGTGTTGGTTCCTCTGCAGCGAGTTCGGCTTCACAGTAACATAGTGCTGTGCTGGATTCAATCTGTCTTGTGTTGTCACGTTGCTTGTTCGTGATTGGGTAGATTCTCAGGTGTATCCGAGCCAATTTGCAAACCACGAGACGCATGCTGATCAGGTTTATGCTTCACACGAGCTTGGTTCGACACCTGAACCTGATCGGCATGAGGTGTCCAGATTGGCAGCGGGAGGCCTACAGTCCTCGGTTCTCCTCGGATACCCTATAGAAACAGCACGATTTTAACAACCTGGAAAAACTACATGTGGAAAATGACTTTCTATAAGTCCATATTGTGTGTGTAGTAGTCACATCACATTCACTTCATTCTCAACAACTCTAGCATGCATTTGCCCCACGTATGAAGTTATTAAATAGTTGGATAGTTGGATACTGAACCATACTGAATAGTTGGATGAATCTGGCCTGATTGAATATGTATCTGGAGCAGGGCTGACTTTATCAGACTAAAATAGTCTGATTGTCTGAAATCTCAGGGTATTTTCCTACGGATCCTGATTTTTCAGACTTGTAAGATTTTCAAACATGAGTGCCTCAGACTTACTTGGTTTTGGATCCTGAGATTTTCAGAGTACTGACTTAGCCGATAATGGGTCTTCATACTACAGGGAGTACGGTACGGATCCTGAAATGCGGATCTGTGATTTATACGTACATTCCGCTACGTCATATGTTGCCAGTGTACGAACACACTTCATGGCGCTGTCACGCGCAGAATCTGTCCTTGGCAACTTTTGCCACCCTTTTCCCTGCAGAATCTGCCAACTTGGCTCACTCTTCCACTCACGCGGGACCATCACTGCAGCTACGCGGTGTCAGCGAGGGAAACTGGTTAGCGTTGCGCCCCACGTGCTACATTTGTGGCAGTACTGTACTGCAGTGGTTGTAGTGTGTTCTGAGTACTTCAGACTTGTGTTTTTGCGGAACCTGAAAAATCAGAGTGGCCATTCTCTGGGAAATATGCCTCAGACTAAAAATTTTCAGAGCCCCCAGAACATCAGACTGGATTTTTTTGAATAGTCAGCCCTGCGCGGGACCATCACTGCAGCTACGCGGTGTCAGCGAGGGAAACTGGTTAGCGTTGCGCCCCACGTGCTACATTTGTGGCAGTACTGTACTGCAGTGGTTGTAGTGTGTTCTGAGTACTTCAGACTTGTGTTTTTGCGGAACCTGAAAAATCAGAGTGGCCATTCTCTGGGAAATATGCCTCAGACTAAAAATTTTCAGAGCCCCCAGAACATCAGACTGGATTTTTTTGAATAGTCAGCCCTGATCTGGAGCCAAATTCCACCCACAACATGTTTGCGTGATGTAATGGGCAAAATATCGGCCAGACAAGTAACGCCATTGAGAATCCAGGGTGGAAACATCACAATCTAAACATACACAATACGCCGTTTCCCGGAATCGAGTGCTCTCTTGTTTCTTTCTTGTTGCCCGGATTTTTTCCACAAGTAATTCCTGGAGTACAGGCACCACGTCCTTGCAGGGTACACCTGCTCAGCATCCACAACTTCCCCTATAGTTACGGTACTGGTCACTTCCTTGTACCACCAAACCTTTCCTCTTCCATGTGAGACAGATCTAGACACCTAACAACTTATTCTTACAACGGTACTCTGTAAGCACCCAGGTGCTTTGGGAAGTGTACATTCGCAACAGAAACAACAATATAAATACACATTCTACTTATTGTGACGGTGCCGATTGAGCGAGAACAGCCATTTTCCGCTGCTCGGTCTTTTCAACCCCCACCACTACCCTCTCATCGAGTCTTCCACTCAACTGCTCCTGCCCCTGGCTAGGCACTAAGAACGGCAGGGAAGGGGTTTCCCGCCACGAGTCTGAAGACATTCCAGCCAACTCCACTGCTGACAATGACGACGCAGTGGAGGTAACCAGATTGTGCGGCCGAGATCGCTCGAAATCCGAATCGTGCGGTCGAGATACCTCGAATCCGGAATCATGCAGTTGCTCTTCGTGAGACCTAGACATTTCATAATCTGGCCGCAGGTCATCTCTCATAGAAACTTCTCCCCTCAAAGCACGCCCATCCTCTCTGCCTGTACTCAAATCCACACCTTCCCCGTCACTCATCCGCCTCTTTCCCTCCGAATTCCCCCCCACACCATGCCCCCCCACCGGCTCTCGGGCAGATTCAAAATCTCGGCCGCCTGCCTGGGGCTGGAAACCAGGCTGCCCGAACGGCGAGGCGAACCGCGGCTTGTCCTCAGCAGAAAAGTGCCGCTTCTCCTGCGGAACGGGAGGCGACATGACCCCTTGCTGCACCTTCCTGAGCATCATGTAATCCCCGTGTGGTGCCCGTGCCATCATCACATCCGCCTCCACACTCTCTCCCGAGAACCCTCCCTGTCCTACCTCCCTCATCCCCTCTCTCCCCCCTCTCCCCTCTCCTCCCCCGATGCCCCCAGGCAAGTTCGGCCGGGAAATCGGCCCGTTGTAAGATGCTCCTTCTCTTTTCCGCCTCATTAACGAGTCTGAAACCGCCATGAGGCCAACCCCTTGCACCGCTCCCCCTTGCATTCCACCTCTTTGCACCCCTCCGCCTTGCACCCCACCGTGGGACATGAGCTCTTCTGACGACCCCCCTCTCCTTATGTACATCTCTCCTCCACTCCCGGGACCTCTGAACCCCATCGCAATCCCTCCCTCTCCTCCTCCTCCATCCCCTCTTCTTCTCCCTCCTCCTCCTCCCCCTCCTCCAACCGCCTCAACCCCTCCTCCATTCGGGTGCCACCCCACACTGCTCCCACTCCAATCACCCCCACCCATCCCTGCCAACCCTTCTCCTGAACCTCTCCAGCCCACTCTCCCACTCTCTCTCTCACTCACTCCCTCACTCACTCCCCCACTCACTCTCTCACTCACACCTCCCATCTCCGCCCACACTTCCCCACTCCCATCCCCATCCCCTCTCATACCTCCTGACGCCTCCCCCGCTTCTCCTCGCCAGCTCATCGCCAGCTCAGCCGGGACCACTCTATTCGGATTCTCCCCTCTCCTAAACCTCTGCTCAGGGGTGTCCCGAGCCTCGTGTTCCATGCCCCCGCCACCATCCGGACGTCTCCGCGCATCCATCCCTCTCGACGAATCTCCACCGTTGGATCCCGAGCGAGAAAACGTCAACGTGGAATTGTAGAACCCCCGTTGACCACCCAACTGCTCTCCACCCCTTCCTCCTTCGTCCCCACCTCCACCTCTCCCTCCCCCCCTCTCATCCCCATGATTCACTCCAATCTCCGAATCATACCCCTCCTGCTGCCCCTCCTGCTGCCCATCCCCCTGCTGCCCCTGCCCCTGCTGGTGCTGCCGCTGGTGCTGGTGCTGGTGAAAATGATTCCTTACAGGCGTATTCGATAACTCCATAGCAACCGCCTCTCCGAGCTCCCGAACCACTTCACTGATACTCGGCCGGTTGATGCCCATGGGCTCAACACAGAGAATGCCCACCTCGGCCACCTTCCACATGGCATCTATGAGAAATTCCGAAGGGGGCAGTGTGGGATCGACTATTGCCTCTATGTCCCCCTGCTGAAGATGCTTGCGGGCCTGGGGTGTCACGGCAGCAGAGAGGGATATGGGAACACGCAGAGGGAGAAGTGAGAGGGAGGATGATGAAGGATCAACAAATAAGATCCCCACCTCGGCCACCTTCCACTGGTAACTTGGAGGAACTCCGAAGGGGGGAGTGCGGGGTCGACTATTGCCTCTATGTCCCCCTGCTGCACATGCTTGCGCGCCTGGGAAAAGATAGAGGGGAGGGGTGAGAGGAGAGGAGGAGGGTGATCAGGGGCAAAGATAGGAGGACAAGGTGAAAAGAGCATGGAAGGGAGGGAGTTGGGAGAAAAAAAGAAAAAAAGAAAGAAAGAAAGAAAGAAAGAAAGAAAGAAAGAAAGAAAGAAAGAAAGAAAGAAAGAAAGAAAGAAAGAAAGAAAGGAAGGAAAGAAAGAAAGAAAGAAAGAAAGAAAGAAAGAAAGAAAGAAGGGAAAAGGACAGAAAGGACAAGAAGAAGAAGTAAAGGTTTAAAGTCATCAATTCCAAGAGGCAGTGAAAAGTGCTGCCTATAAACAAGCAGCCAGAGAAAGAGTCAACACTAGTCAACGCACGCACCCAGTCAATGATGTTCCAGTCGACGCGTGGGCGGCTGAGGTCGATGGGTTGCCGCCCGCTGACCAGCTCCAGCAGCACCACCCCGAAGCTGAACACGTCACTGCGATCCGTCAGCTGCTGCACCGTGTAGTACCTGGTGGTGGTGATGGAAGAGGAGGGGGAGGGAGGGAGTGGGAGAGGGTGTAAGGAGTGACCAGAGTGAGGCGGTCTCCCAGCCTCCCTGTCTCCCTGTCCACCACTCGCCCTCTGATCAGTTTCAGCAGAACCACTCCAAAGCTGAACACGTCACTGCGATCGGTTAATTTCTGCACCGTGTAGTACCTGGGGGGGGGGGGGAGGGGGAATGGTTGGGTGGACGGGGAAATCATAAACTTTTATTGGTGTGCGCCCGTCTCCCAATCTCCCAGTTCCCCAGTTCCCCAGTTCCCCAGTTTCCCAGTTCCCCAGTTCCCCAGTTCCCCAGTTCCCCAGTTTCCCAGTTCCCCAGTTCCCCAGTTTCCCAGTTCCCCAGTTCCCCAGTTCCCCAGTTCCCCAGTTCCCCAGTTCCCCAGTTCCCCAGTTCCCCAGTTCCCCAGTTCCCCAGTTCCCCAGTTCCCCAGTTCCCCAGTTCCCCAGTTCCCCAGTTCCCCAGTTCCCCAGTTCCCCAGTTCCCCAGTTCCCCAGTTCCCCAGTTTCTCAGTTTCTCAGTCTTTTCAGCAGAACCACTCCAAAGCTGAACACGTCACTGCGATCCGTCAGCTGCTGCACCGTGTAGTACCTGGGGGGGGGGGGAGGGGTTGGAAAAGGAGGGGGAGGGAGAGGGAGAGGGAGAGGGGGTGAGTGAGGCAGTCTCCCAGTCTTCCTGTCTCCATGCCCCCCACTCACTCACCCACTGACCAGCTCCAGCAGAACCACCCATTCGTCTTTTACTCACCAGAACCCCCACCTTTCCCTGTCAACCCACCACCCCGTTAGGGCATCTCGTGAGCACATAGCACACTCACTCTGGGTCTAGGTAACCGGCTGTGCCCTTCACATTGGTGGACACGTGCGTGTTGTCCTGAGGGCCCAGGCGGGACAGCCCAAAGTCAGCGACCTTGGCGCAGAGGCTGTCGTCGAGGAGAATGTTGGTGGTCTTGATGTCTCGATGGATGATGGAGGGGCGGAGGGCCACGTGAAGGTACTCAATTCCTGGGATGCGGAAGAGCAGGGATAAGAGGGGGAAAGGAGGAGAGAGGGAGGGGAGGATGGGGAATAGGGGAGTAAGAGGCTGTCGTCGAGGAGAATGTTGGTGGTCTTGATGTCTTGATGGATGACGGAGGGGCGGAGAGCCACTTTGGGGCTTGATGAATTCCCAAAAGTGATTTCAACACGGAAGGGGGCTATAAGACGAGAGAATGAAGGAGACAGGAAAAGGTGAGGTGAACGGGACATGGTCGTCACTTTGGGGTGACAGACAAGACGATGAAATATCCTATCCAACCCTTCACCCCTTCCCCTTCCCCCATCCTTTTACCCCTCCCCCTATCCTCTTGGCTCCCCCCTAATCTCCCCACTCCCTCGTCCTCTCCCTACCTTTGGCGGCACCAACAGCGATCGAGAGGCGCTGCAGCCACCGCAACCGCCCCCTTGGCGCTCCCAACCGGTCTGCACCACATTGAGACGGGGTGGTAGTGGGAAAGGGAGGAGTGAAGATTGCAGCACAGCAAGCCACAGAGAAACAAGTGGTTACAAAACGCAACGCAAGTTGCCCTGCGCCATGAACTCATACACCAGCAGCTACTCCAGTTTGTACCCCTTATAGAATCCTCCCCACTCACTGTATAAGTGTTCTTGCAGGTTGCCCTGCGCCATGAACTCATAAATACACCAGCAGCCTCCCCAGTCTATACCCTCTATAACATCCTCCCCACTTACCGTATAAGTGTTCCCTCAAATTGCCCTGCGCCATGAACTCATACACCAGCAGCTGCTGCCCCTGCTCCTCACAGAACGCTATCAGCGCCACCAGGTGGGGGTGCCGTATCTTGGACAGGAACTTGAGCTGAGAGGGGGAAGAAGGAAAAGGCAGGGGGAAAGGGGTTGGGAAGTCAGCACATGAGTGAACCAGCGTCACCAGGTGGGGGTGCCGGATCTTGGACAGGAACTTGAGCTGGCAGGGAAGGGAGGAAGGACGAAGGGAGAGGGGATCAGTGCAGGCCGGAAGGAGGGCAGAGGGGTCTGAGACGCCTCTAATCAATCAGTGTCCCTGCTGGCTATCAGCGCCCCCAGGTGGGGGTGCCGTATCTTGGACAAGAGCTTGAGCTGGCAGGGAGGGGAGGAGGGGAAAGGGGGCAGAGCAGAGAGAGTCTACTCGTGAGGCGCCTCAAAGAAAACACAGGGTGCCCCTGCTCCTCACAGAAGGCAACCAGCGCCACCAGGTGGGGGTGCCGTATCTTGGACAGGAACTTGAGCTGGCAGGGAGGGGAGGAGGGGAAAGGGGGCAGAGCAGAGAGAGTCTACTCGTGAGGCGCCTCAAAGAAAACACAGGGTGCCCCTGCTCCTCACAGAAGGCAACCAGCGCCACCAGGTGGGGGTGCCGTATCTTGGACAGGAACTAGAGCTGGCATAGGGGCAGGATGGAAGGTGGGGATGGGGGGAAGGGGGTAGGAAGTCAGGTAAGGATCAGTGGCACTGTCAGGTTCAATATTGAGGTGCGAGTGGCAGGATTTCAACAGAAAAATCACTCACTCACCTCATTATTAAACTCTGTAGAGCCCTGCATGGAGTCCACAGCGCGTCGCTTGACAGCCACCACTCGTCCATTCGCCAGCACGCCGCGATACACCGGTCCAAACCCCCCAGCACCGATCATATGCTCCTCACAGAACCCTCCCGTCGCCTCCTCCAGCTCTGCTAGACTCATCCGCTGCACGTGAGTGGATGGCACAGTGAACGGCGCCGCCTCCACCGCCAGCCCGTTGGGTGGCGCTTTTTGTCCGTTGTGCGCCGTGTCCGCTGCTGCTGCTCCTGCTGCTGTAGCTGCTGCTGCTGCGGCACTTGTGGCTGCATCTGTAGCAGTGATGGCACGAGCAGAACCTTCCACATTGGGTTCACTCTTACGTTCAGATACATTCCCATTGGGCAACAGAGGCTCGGTAGAGCTGGAGTTAGGTCCGGAAAGAGGCATGGAATATCTCTCCCTATCACTGAATTCCCCTCCTTCTCCTCTCCCTCTCGCCCTCTCCCCCTCCCTCCCACTCTCACCCCCCCTCTCACTCCCTCTGTCTTCCCTTGATCCGCTCCGTGACACACCAACTGTTCGCCTCCCGCTCTCACCCTCTCCCCTTCCACTCCCCCCACCATACCCATCGCTCCTTTTCCCCGATCCTTCATCCCCCTCCCCACCGTCCCCTCCACCTCCCCCCGCTGCTGCCACTTCACTCCGCTTCTCCTCCGCTTCCTTCTCCCCCTCTTGCCCCTTCGCCCTGTCCTTCCAGGCCCCTTCAAGATACATCCACACCACCAGCGCCGAAGCAATAGCAGCAACAGATAACGACACTGCCAGAGATATCACCAGCACATTTCCCCTCGCAGCACTTGAGTCGGCAGTTGAAGGAGAGGGAGGGAAGGCCTCGGAAGGGGGAGCAGAGGCTGAGGTGGGGGATGGTGCGGGTGGGGGAGCGGGGGGGGAGAGGGGAGGGGGGGCCGGAGGGGGGAGGACTCCACAGTAGGGGAGGTCGTAGAGGCCCTGGGGGGAGCAGAGATCGTTGCCCGTGGCACTGGGGGAAGGGAGGGGGAGAGACGGGGGGAAGGGGGAGAGGAATATGAAAGCGAATTAGCCTGATGGCACCAACGTGGTGCTCTATTAGTCTCCGCAGTTGGGGAGATCATAGAGGCCCAGGGGGGAGCAGAGGTCGTTGCCTGTGGCACTGGGGGAGCGGAGGGGGAGAGACGGGGGGGAGACGGGGGAGAGATGGGGGAGAGATGGGGGAGAGACGGGGGAGAGATGGAAGGGGAGCAAAGGGGGGAAGAAGGGGAAGCAGGGGATTTGACAATCCGTGTGATGCGCAAGGCAGGCGGCAGAATCACGATCCAAACAGAACAAGAAACAGTGGACTGCACACCTGTGCCCCCCATGCCCCCCGTGCCCCCCGTGCCCCCCGTGCCCCCTGTGCCCCCCATGCCCCCCGTGCCCGCCGTGCCCCCCGTGTCCCCCGTGCCCCCCGTGCCCACCGTGCCCGCCGTGCCCCCCGTGTCCCCCGTGCCCCCTATGCCCCCTATGCCCCCTGTGCCTGCTGTGCCCTGTCCACCACTTACACGACTTGAATGAACTGCGTGGTCATGTTGAAAGGGAACACTCCCGTGAGGCTGTTGTTTGCCACGTTGCTGCAGAGTCGTTTCCATAGAGGAGAGAGGGGGATGGAGAGACGGGAACAGAGAGAGGGGAACGGAGAGACGGGAGCGGAGAGACGGGAACGGAGAGAGGGGAACGGAGAGAGGGGAACGGAGAGACGGGAGCGGAGAGACGGGAGCGGAGAGACGGGAACGGAGAGACGGGAACAGGGAGTTGGGCAAAAGTGGTAAGGTTGGCTTCGAAACATCCTAAAAGAGAGGGCAACACAGGTGCAGTGCAGAGACAGATGCGTGCAGTGCAGAGACAGATGCGTGCAGAGACAGATGCATGCAGAGACAGATGCGTGCAGAGACAGATGCGTGCAGAGACAGATGCGTGCAGAGACAGATGCGTGCAGAGACAGATGCGTGCAGTGCAGAGACAGATGCGTGCAGAGACAGATGCGTGCAGTGCAGAGACAGATGCGTGCAGTGCAGAGACAGATGCGTGCAGTGCAGAGACAGATGCGTGCAGAGACAGATGCGTGCAGTGCAGAGACAGATGCGTGCAGAGACAGATGCGTGCAGAGACAGATGCGTGCGGAGACAGATGCGTGCAGAGACAGATGCGTGCAGTGCAGAGACAGATGCGTGCAGAGACAGATGCGTGCAGTGCAGAGACAGATGCGTGCAGTGCAGAGACAGATGCGTGCAGTGCAGAGACAGATGCGTGCAGAGACAGATGCGTGCAGTGCAGAGACAGATGCGTGCAGTGCAGAGACAGATGCGTGCAGTGCAGAGACAGATGCGTGCAGTGCAGAGACAGATGCGTGCAGAGACAGATGCGTGCAGAGACAGATGTGTGCAGAGACAGATGCGTGCAGAGACAGATGCGTGCAGAGACAGATGCGTGCAGTGCAGAGACAGATGCGTGCAGTGCAGAGACAGATGCGTGCAGTGCAGAGACAGATGCGTGCAGTGCAGAGACAGATGCGTGCAGAGACAGATGCGTGCAGTGCAGAGACAGATGCGTGCAGTGCAGAGACAGATGCGTGCAGAGACAGATGCGTGCAGAGACAGATGCGTGCAGAGACAGATGCGTGCAGAGACAGATGCGTGCAGAGACAGATGCGTGCAGTGCAGAGACAGATGCGTGCAGTGCAGAGACAGATGCGTGCAGAGACAGATGTGTGCAGAGACAGATGCGTGCAGTGCAGAGACAGATGCGTGCAGAGACAGATGCGTGCAGTGCAGAGACAGATGCGTGCAGTGCAGAGACAGATGCGTGCAGAGACAGATGCGTGCAGAGACAGATGCGTGCAGAGACAGATGCGTGCAGTGCAGAGACAGATGCGTGCAGATCAAATGACTCACACTACGTGCAGTGCAAATGACTCACACTACGTGCATTGCAAATGACTCACACTACGTGCAGTGCAAATGACTCACACTACGTGCAGTGCAAATGACTCACACTACGTGCAGTGCAAATGACTCACACTACGTGCAGTGCAAATGACTCACACTACGTGCAGTGCAAATGACTCACACTACGTGCAGTGCAAATGACTCACACTACGTGCAGTGCAAATGACTCACACTACGTGCAGTGCAAATGACTCACACTACGTGCAGTGCACTGGTGGTGGTGCCAGTGCGAGGTCTGCTCTGCAAATAGCATTTAACTCACAGCTGGACTAGATAGGTGCGATTGGTGAGATTGGTGAGATTGGTGAGGTGAGTGACTGGGCGGCAGCAGGAAGAAGTGAAAACGACTAACAGCTGCACCAGATTGGTGAGGTTGGTGAGCGACTGAGGCACCCCCCCCGTTAAATGGTTGTTCTGCAGTAGACTGCATGCCACGGGGGAAAGAGAGAGAGAGAAGGAGACGAGACGCAGTGGTAGAGACAGAAGGGGTTGTGGGGGACGGGTGAAGGAGAGAGGGGAATAAGGTTGGGCGGAGACCAAGGGACAATCTTTAAGGTGCCTCAAGAAGCGACTAAGGAACCAAGTTTTGAGGCGCATCGAAGACGATATTCGAGGCGCCTCAAAGACAGAGACCAAGGGACACAATCTTTGAGGCGCCTCAAGAAGCGACTAAGGAACCAACCAGCCGCTCAAGTTGGTTGTTCTGCAACAGAATGCGAAGGAAGGTTGAAGGAGTCCGAGTGAGGGAGACTAAACGAGGGGCAAGAGAAGGGAAGTGAGGAAAAGGAGCGGGAATAAAGAGACTAATATTGGCAGGGGGGCGGGATGAACTGTGGCTGGAAATGGAGAGATAGAGAGCGAGGGATTGGGGCAGCGGCAGAGTGAGTGAGGGTGCAAGAGAATCAGGGAGCAAGGAAGTGAGGGAAAAGGCGAGCAACGGACTGAGGGAGAGGGAGTGAGGGAGCATCGGGGCGAGGGAGCGAGGGAGCGAGGGAGCGAGGGAGCGAGGGAGCGAGGGAGCGCGGGAGCGAGGGAGCGAGGGAGTGCAAGAAATTATAAATGGGCAGAACAGAGCAGAACAGAGCAGAACAGAGCAGAACAGAGCAGAACACTCACAGAGTAGAGAGATCCCCCAAGTCGCCAAGGGAGCTGGGAATCTCGTTCTCCAGGTTGTTGTCATTCACCCAGCTGGTGGGAGTAAAGGGGGGGGGAGAGGGGCGGGGGGGTTGAGAATTCTCAAACAGTCGCTCACGAGGTTGCCAAGGGAGCTGGGAATCTCGTTCTCCAGGTAGTTGTCATTCACCCAGCTGGAGAGGCAGCGCGGGATTCGGGCCAGCCAAGGCAAGTGACAAAGGGGAGATGTGGAGGGGGAGGGGGGAATTTATACGGCACTTCAAGGGAGCTGGGAATCTCGTTCTCCAGGTTGTTGTCATTCACCCATCTGGGGGATTTTGTGGGGGGGGGCCAGCCAAGTGACAAAAGTGAGAGGAGGGGAGGGGAAGAGGGGGGGACGTTTACGCGGCATTTAAATTCAAGGGAGCTGGGAATCTCGTTCTCCAGGTTGTCATTCACCCAGCTGGAGAGGCAGTGAGGGATTCGGACCAGCCAAGCCAGGTGACAAACGGGAGAGGGGATTGGGGAAACAACATACGAGGCACCTCAAGAATGGGAACCTCGTTCAGCAGGTCGTTGTCATTGTCCCAGCTAAGGGGTCAACGGGGAATACGAGCCAGCCAAGAGATGAAGGGGAGATAGGGGGGGAAACAATTGAGGGATTAGGCAGTACTGGCACGGTGGCACCTCAAGAACGGTAACTTTGTTCACCAGGTCGTTGTCATTGTCCCAGCTGGGGGGATGGGGGGGTCATTTGGCAAGGGCGGGAGAGGAGGAGGGAAGATTTAATCTACGCAACGCTCCCCAAAAAAAAGGGAGACAGGGAGAGGGTGGAAGGAGAGGCTCAAACAGCCTTCTGATCTGACCAAATGTCATAAAGGTATTCCGATGAGATGAAGACGGCAAGATCACGCAGGCTACAGTGTCCATCTGTCCCTTAACAATGCACATAAACACATGGGCGAGAGGAGTAAATACACACAAGACAAGACAAGACAAGACAAGATAGGACAGGTAAGCAGGAAGCATGTATCGAAGGGGCGAGACGTGGAAGCAAGCCTGAGCGACTCACAGGTGTTGGAGGCGGGAGACATTAGCCAGAGCTGGGGAGATGGGGCCGTGGAGACTGTAGTTGCCCAGATAGCTGGAGGGGGGGGGGTAAGGGAGGGAGGATAGATTGCGGGTGCAGCAAGGAGAGAGGAGGGGACGGGAGACGTTAGCCAGAGCTGGGGAGATGGGGCCGTGGAGACTGTAGTTGCCCAGATAGCTGATGGGGGGGGTGGGGGATATGGGAGAGGAGCGGGAGAAGGGGGAAAGGGAAGAGCAGAGATTGTGGGTGTAACAAGCAGAGATGAAGGGATGAGAAAAGGGGATGAGAAAATGATGCTACTGCTAATTGCCCGTCCACATGATGTACATGCTTGCACGTGACTTGACTATTAAGGCGCCTCAAGACGCTGGGGATATAGTACCATAAGTGGCTCGCCCACGGGATGGGGTTGCTGTCCCACCTCTGCCACCCCTCCAAAAAACTCGTCCCCCTACTCTCTCATTTTCCCTCCCACCCACTCACATGCCGCTGAAGTGTGACGCGCTGTCCCCCTGCGCCTGTATGCACTGAATGCCCGCCCACTTGATGGGGATGCAGGGATCCGACCCGCCCCCATCCCTTCCCCTCGTCCCTCCTTCCCCCCATTCCTCCTCTCCCCCCCACCCACACCCCTCCTCCTCGCTACTCACATGCCACTGACGTGTGACGCGCTGTCCCCCTGCGCCTGAATGCACTGAATTCCCGCCCACTTGATGGGGTTACAGGGGTCCGACCCCTGCCACCCCGCCAGTGACGCTGGCGCCCCCAGCAGCCTCTGAAAGTCACGCAGGGCGGAGACTGGAGGTTGGTGGGGGGGGGTGGGGGAGAAGGGGATGGGAAGGGGAGGGAAGGGAGCAGGAAAGTGGAAGAAGAGGGAGAATTTGGAAGGAAAATGGAAGAGGGGACGGGATGAGGAGGAAGGGAGCAAGGAAACCGGACTTGGCTTGGCAGGCTTGGCACCAAGGGAACACCTCGTACGTCTCAATGCCACTGCTTGCTGTGCTTGAGTCAACTCAGTAGAAGCAATAAGTTAGAAGTCAACCCTAGACGGCCAAAAATCGACTAAAAACCCACCTTCATCAGCAGGCGTTGGCTTGGCCGCAGGGAACACCTCGTACATCTCGATGCCACTGATGGCTGGCGGCAGGCGGCTACTGCCTTTGCATTCCATGTGCAACTCAACTCACCTTCAGCAGGGGGCGTTGGCTTGGCAGCGGGGAACACCTCGTACATCTCGATGCCACTGATGGCAGGAGGCAGGCGGCTGGTAGCTGCTGGCCTGAGCAGCAGGATGGCGGGGGTGTAGAGATCCACACTCGTGAAATTCACCACCACCATCACCACCTGCTGCGCGTACAGGCTGCTATCAGTGCTGCTGCTGCTTCCAGTGGCGGAATGGGTAGGAGGGGTAGACGGAGCTGTGGCAGCAGCAGAAGGAAGAGCGGCAGGAGCAGCAGCAAGGCCTACGGCAGCCGCATGAGCAGTCACATCACCCCCACCACCATCAACAGCGCCACGCCCCCCTAAGCCACTTCCCCCAGCCCGTGCCGCCCTGCCCACCCCTTGCAGCTGCAGAAACAAATCAAATCTCCCAACCACCACCTGCTCATTCAACACAATGTCAAACACCATGTCCCCCGCCCGCTTCACCCGCCCCTCCACGTTCGCAAAGTACAGAATCAGCTGGAAATTAGCAGGGCTCTCGAGGAATTGAAACTGGTATTCCAAGCCACTGCTGCTGTCTGTGCTTCCCTTGGGTGCCTGTGGCACTGTGCGTGCTGTGAGCTGTAGGAAGGGAGGAACGGCGTTGGCTGTGCCGTTCGCTGTGATTGCTTGCTCTGCTGCTTCTGCTGCTTCTTCTGCTGCTGCTTCTAGTGCTTCTTCTGCTGGTGACCCGTCTGCTTCACCTACCACAGCTGCTTCTGCTGCTGCTGCTGCTCCTGCTCCCGCCACTGCTGCTGCCGCTGCTGCTGTTGCTGCTGCCTCCGCTCCCGCCGCTTCCCCTGCTTCTTCAGACGCACTCTCTCCCCGCACCGCTTCACCCGAATCCCCAGTGCCAAACGCAGCAGAAGTAGCTGCAGCCACGGCTCTAGCCCCTATGGCCGGCTTAACATTAATAGGCGTGCCAAAAACGTAGGAGTCGAGAGAATAGTCGAACATGAGGGTTGACGAGGCAGCACCCCCACTGGTGGCCATCACCCCATCTGCATCCCAGATGCGATCCAATGGGTCGTACGGGTAGCTGGGAGGGTGGAGAGGGGTGGAGAAGGATGGAGAGGGGTGGAGAAGGATGGAGAGGGGTGGAGAGGGGTGGAGAGGGGTGGAGAGGGGTGGAGAGGTGAGAGTAGTCAAACATGAGGGTGGACGAGGCGGCGCCCCCACTGGTGGCCATCACGCCGTCTGCATCCCAGATGCGATCCAATGGGTCATAGGCTGGAGGGGTGGAGAGGGGTGGAGGCGTGGAAAATGGGACACATGTAGGGGTGTGGTGACGAGAAGCGAGCACCGAACGGGTAGGGGAGAGGAGGTGAGGGTGGACGAGGCAGCGCAGCGCCCCCACTGGGGGCCATCACGCCGTCTAGAGGGAGGCAGCAGCACGGCACAACAGCAGCGTGTAATAGAATCCAATCTCTTCTCTCACAGCAGCGTGCGGTTGGTGCGCGAGTCGTTGGCACAAAAGAGGCGCCACCAGAGCAGCATGACGCCTCAAGTCAAGCCAGCATTTAGGGGGGAGGCAGCAGCACAGCACAGCAGCGTGCCCCCACTCCTCTGAAAATATCTACTTTCTTCTCTCACCGCAGCATGCGGTTGGTGAGCGAGTCGTTGGCACTGAAGAGGCGCCACCAGAGCAGCATGACGCCCGAGGGGTCGGGCAGCGACACGTACGACGCCGGGGGCAGCGGCCTCAGCTCCAGCGCGTTCACCAGCGGCTTGCCGTAGATGCTCACGAAGCACACCTGGGGAGGGAGTTGGGAACAACACACAGGTAATTGACTCCGGTTACCCTCTATTACTCGCTATTACCCTCTGTTACATCCTGAAACCCTCTGTTACATCCTGAAACCCTCTGTTACCCTCTGTAATCCTCTGCTACCCTCTGTTACTCTCCGTTTCTGTTTCCTGCAGCCACATCAGCTATACCTACTCGTTCTCACTCCGTCCATCCATCCACATACCTCGAGCTCTGTGGAGGCCACTTGACCAATGATCTCACTCTCCTCTTCAGAGCCAGCCAGGTGGGTTTTGAGTCGAAGTCAAACCACACCGCGAGTTCGTTTTTCTTTCTCGATCTCACTCCTTCCATCCACCACGTACCTCGAGCTCTGTTGAATCCACTTGGCCGATGATCTCCGAGACCACCCTCTCCTTCAGAGCCAGCACCACCGTCGCCCTGCACGCACCATGCAGCAGACGGACAAAGCATTCCGTAGTGGACTCGAGAATCATCTTAAAACGGTCAAAGCATGCACACTCTCAAGTCCATCTCAAGACCAGCGTCACACACGCTCACGCAAGCGATAAGGCAGCGCAACACAGCAGCATCACACACACTCACGCAAGCGATAAGGCAGCGCAACACAGCAGCATCACACACGCTCACGCAAGCGATAAGGCAGCGCAACACAGCAGCATCACACATACTCACGCAAGCGATAAGGCAGCGCAACACAGCAGCATCACACACACTCACGCAAGCGATAAGGCAGCGCAACACAGCAGCATCACACACACTCACGCAAGCGATAAGGCAGCGCAACACAGCAGCATCACACACACTCACGCAAGCGATAAGGCAGCGCAACACAGCAGCATCACACACACTCACGCAAGCGATAAGGCAGCGCAACACAGCAGCATCACACACACTCACGCAAGCGATAAGGCAGCGCAACACAGCAGCATCACACACACTCACGCAAGCGATAAGGCAGCGCAACACAGCAGCATCACACACACTCACGCAAGCGATAAGGCAGCGCAACACAGCAGCATCACACACACTCACGCAAGCGATAAGGCAGCGCAACACAGCAGCATCACACACACTCACGCAAGCGATAAGGCAGCGCAACACAGCAGCATCACACACACTCACGCAAGCGATAAGGCAGCGCAACACAGCAGCATCACACACACTCACGCAAGCGATAAGGCAGCGCAACACAGCAGCATCACACACACTCACGCAAGCGATGAGGCAGCGCAACACAGCAGCATCACACACGCTCACGCAAGCGATAAGGCAGCGCAACACAGCAGCATCACACACACTCACGCAAGCGAAAGGCAGCGCAACACAGCAGCATCACACACACTCACGCAAGCGATAAGGCAGCGCAACACAGCAGCATCACACACACTCACGCGAATGAGATCCCAAAGGAGACGTTGAACGCGGGCGGGCTCTTGGCCTTGTCATAATTCCCATAGTACATCACCAGCCGCAGCAGATACCTCCCAGGCTTCGCCACAGGGATGTTATAACAGTTAACGGGGTACTCTGTAAAGACTCGCATGGTCGCGTCCACGTCATACGGCCCCCACTGCTTGCCCTTGGGAGGGGGAGCAGTGCCGGGCACTCCTGTGCTGTAGTACTGATCTGGCTGCCACCTTATTCCGGTGATTTTGTCCACAAACGGGGGGCCCGTGTATCCGCAGTTGATACTAACGAAGCCTGGAGGACGTTTGAGAGGGGGGGACACCAGGGCATATCAGTATCAGTATGTGTGAATATAATCAGTGCACGGTAACATGAGCTGTACTGTACTATACACCACACCACCCCATACAGCGCGCAATCTTTCAGAGTTTGCCTCATCGTGGCTCAGTGTCTTCGGTAACCCGCCGAAATCGTCCACTGTTCGCCTAGCCGTCCATTGCTCGCTTAACTGTCCGTCCACTGTTTGCCAAACCATCCACTGTTCTCGCCTAACTAACCATTGTTCGCCTAGGCGCCATATTTCCGCCTAGCTGCCCAACATCCGCCTAGCAGCCAATGCTCGCCTCGACTAGCCGTCCACTACCCGCAACTGCGAAGCATCGTAACCCTAGAACGGTGGTCAGGCTATAGCTATATGGCCGCAAGCACCTGCTGTACGTCGTAACCCTAAAACGGTACATGGTAAGACAATAACTGTATGGCAGCAAGCACCTGCTGTACGTCGTAACCCTAAACGGTACATGGTCAAGCCATAGCTGTACGGCCGCAAGCATCTGCTGTACGTCGTAACCCTAATTCGGTATACGGACACCCTCGCTTCTTGAGCGCCTAGGAAATAGGTGTACGGTGGTCGCAAGAACCGCTAGGCATCGTAACCCTAATTCGGTACACGGTCACCCTCGTTCTTGAGGCACCTCAGAAACGGTTGGAAACTGTCATATATCGAAACCCTAACGCGGTACACGGTCAACAAACGTCTCAATCAACTGCACTGCCTCGTTTGAAGCTAAAGAATGTGGACTCTGCACAGACCCATTGCCCGTCAACTTCGCGAACATCGTCGTAACACCTTCTCCACCGCGAAATGGTCGCCAGCAAAGGCCCCTTTCAGTGCGACAAAACACTCCTCAATACAACTACAGAGCCGCAGCCGTATTCCGCTCCGGGAATATACATGAAAGCTGAGCAGCGGCCCACATTAGACAGCAGCAGTATCCAACACTGCGAGACCTACGCCACCTAAGCCGGCTGATTATTCGCAGCTCCAGTTGTGATCAGCACTACGACTAGACCTGCAGCGAGCCGAACCATAATGTTTGTAAAACACTATCCCGCAACTAGCCGCTGGCGAAAGGTTGCAGTAGGATGGTCAACGAACAAAGTGGTAACCCTAAACTCGCGGAATTCCGCTTTGATAGAGCTCCGCACGAGCTTTTGTCAAAGCAACCCTAAACGAAACTACTAATCCTAAACTACGTTGGTCATTTCGTACCCTCGATAATGCGCTTCAGCCTCAGTGCGAGCTAGGAGAACGTATGGAGTGAGATTGCCCGTCACCGACCGAGTGAATTTGACGAACTTACCGACCTCCAACGAAAATAAGTTGTTTTATGGCTAAGCACCAAGCACACGCTGCCACTTGCCTGCTTGAGAAGGTAGACTCGTCCCAGTATTAGCTAAAATCCGCTCCGAATGCGGCTGCGAAGATAATAAGTCTGACGACGTTCCTGGAATTCTGGCGGGATGAACGGCTATGATTGCTAAGGAAAGGATAACAGAACAAGCTTGTAGGTGATTCCATCTGATAGCTCTTGGTCTTGGCCGCTGGTGAGACGAGCTTAAGCAAGGCAGGCCGGGACTAAACCTGTAACCAGCACGGATCAGCATCCTGCTGAGTTCGACGCTGCTGCCATGTGCTGCTGCTACTGCTGCTGCTACGTCGTATGCTTCCGATACAAAGTTTCCTCGACGAATGGAATCTCCTGATCAAATAACGACTCCTGTGGCTAAGCTTTGCTCGTGGTCCGGCAAAATTCTGTGAGAATATGACCGCGGCGAACTTAGAGCCACGACGTGAGCGAGGGACTAGTCGCGAATGCAAAGCTTTCCAAGTCGTCACTATGGCATTACTAGACCACTACACTACACTGCACAACTGAGCGTTGTGCGAGTTCGCCCTGGAAGCTGCTTCTCATCAGTGCCCTAAATCAAAGCTAACACAACCGCAATGACTGTTCTGCCCCAACCCTGGTTGGGAGGGATTGGCATGGCCTACAGTTGGTGTGTGGGTGGTGTGGTATGGTACTGTAGGACACTGACTGGAGGGAGAGTTGTCAGGGTAACGCGAGGGCTACGCTTGCCATGATGAGAGGGAGGTTAGATCAGGTGAAACAAGATTAGGTGAGTTCATATGCGGTGAAGTTTTGATCGTGGAAATCGAGGGTACAAGATCGAGGTAAGTACAGCACAGTGCAGTGCGGATGAGTTGAACTGCCTTTTTCCGTGACTTGTTTTTGCTTGCCCGTGCATTTGCAGGGCTACCGGCTACCGGCTTCCCGTACCTATCTAACGATTTCTGGTCATCTGGGCAGGCAGGTTGACGAGGAAACGAGACGTATCTGACATCTGGAGTAACATGTGTAGTGTAGGTCTTGGTGGTCATGTGGTGGCTTGGGGGCTGTGGCTGGTGGTGGCTGTCAGGTGGTGTGGAGATTCGAGAAGGGCGCGAGTGTGTGGCTAGTTACCCTACCACCTTCTGTTTGGCCCAAGCAACCACGTAGCTGGGGCCGAGCCTACTCGGCTCGGAGACACAGCCCCAAACCAAACACCTTCGCTCAGGCAGGGTATGACCACCTTTGTTCAAATCAGTTCATGATACATATGATCGGCCACATTCGACTTCGGTAAGGAAGGCAAGCGCTTATCTGTGTAACCAAGCCACTGGTCTAGCCCAGATCTGGCCGAACTGAACCCTGGAGGTACAGAAGGAGCCACAGCCTTGGGTTTGTTTGGGAGTACGAGCCGCCCATACTGAAGGGTGGGTTCTGAGACCACCAAAGCTCCACTGACACCACATGCCTTCCGCTAAGGGTTTTTATAAAGGAAGTCATAAAAAAGTTCAGAGGTGTCACAGCAACTCATTGGTCTGTCACGAATTGTCACTTGTTCTGCCCAAACTATCACACTCGGGTATCACAGCTCGTCACTCGTTATAAAAAAAAATATATCACGCATAGTCACATATGAAACTTCGCAATCATAGGATAAAATTTTATCATTTTGTTGAGCTGCCTTGACGCACAGAAAAGACCCGAGGCATAATTTCAAGACATGGTTTATTTAAATATGCACGACAATTTGTACCCGCAGTATGTTCAATCAATGTAACAAACAAATAACTTCATATATAAATAGACCCGTATTAGTGTGTACATATCTCATATTTTGATTCAAATGCCTCAAACTTGAAACAAAATGGAAATGTCGATTTTCATTGTGTTTTGATGTATTTTAAAGAAAACAATATCATACAATACGAAATTAAAATATCTTCATATAGAAGAATTATTGTTTAGAAATGTGCAATCTGAAGAGTATACTCAAATCAGTATCATTTTACTTTACATTAGCACCAGTAGCCTTGTTCTAAAAAATGCTTTTCACATATAAACGCTAGTGGCGTTCCACTGAACAATAGTGCACAAATGTAAAAAAATTTCCTTACCGTAATCCACAAGGTATATACCACCCGCCGAAACAGAGAACCCTCGGGTAGCTTGGGGGATGTGTGTTGTCTTTAGCCTCATTTTTCTTATATAACACCCCCTTCTATACAAAATTGTCAGAATGTTATTCTCTAGCCTGTAGTGGGGTGCTCTATAGCGAATACAACCCATCTAGGGTTTGCTATATGTATCCTCATTGCTGCTAGTAAAAACCCCTCTTCTCTTTTGCCTAAACTTTCTCTTGCCTAGCTAGGGCTTACCTAGCCATGGCTCCTCATTCTACTCGCCTTCTCACATGCTATCAGAGCAGGTCGACCCCTTTGGGTCGATCCTGTGGGTGGGCCCGCCACCTAACTGCTTCCGCTGCTGTTCCGCTTCTAGCGCGCCTAGGGCGCGCGCTGTCTCCTTCCTGCGAAAATTTTTAGGGTTTTTCATCCCGCCGTGCGCCCCGAGGCGCGCGGCGGTTTCGCGCCCTGGGGAGCCTGCGCGCGCCCCGCCTGTCCGTCGCATCGCCCTGGGGAGCACGCGCGGCCCCCCGCCCAGCTCGTCGCGGCGCCCTGGGGAGCCCGCGCGCGCCCCGCTTTGAGAAGAAACGAGGAATGATTGACTAAAGGAAAGTTGGGTACAAATGCAAACCCTAGGAAAACTGTACCCCATATGTGCTACCCCACTATAGCCTACAGTAGTAATGTCATATAAATCTGACACACCCCCATAGGCAAAGTGGGGGAGAACAAGGGGTCACAAGACCAGTCAAGCAAAGCAAAGCAAGCTCAGGGTGGATCACAAAGTCACCACACATTCCGAGCACAAGTTCAAGGCCAAAAGGCCAGTTCACATGCAGGATTACAAATATATATAAGTCTAGACAAGCAAGAGCAGGTGTATATATATATGCAACAGTACAAACAAGGTCAAGGGGTGAGCAAGTGAGGCAAGGCAGGCACAAGACCCAGCTGAGTACAGAAGCGCTGATGATCACAAGGCGCAAGTGCCTTGGTGAAGATATCAGCAGTGTTGGCCTGAGAGGCCACGTACGCAAGCCGCAGCTGACCACGCTGCTGTAGCTCACGAGCAAGGAAGTAGCGGAGAGCAATGTGCTTCGTTCTGTGCTCCAGTCTCTGCTCTCGACACAAGGCCAGCATGGCCTTGTTGTCTACGTACAGCACTGGAGGAGAACGAGGCGGCTCTCCGAGGTCAGTCAGCAGGTAGGTGAGCCAGCGAAGCTCCTGTGCAGCCATGGCCCCGGCGTAGATCTCAGCCTCACAACTGGAGCCGAGAACAGAAGACGAGCGGGTAGCCCGCCACGAAACAGAGCCGGAACCAAGGCTGAAGGTGTAACCCTGTGACGACCGCTGCGTAGCCTGGTCGTCAGCCCAAGAAGCGTCTGCGTGCCCAGTGAGGACCACTGGACTCTGCCCTCCAAGCACAAGCCCCATGCCCGACGTACTGCACAAGTAACGCAACACCCTCTTCGCTGCAGCCATGTGCTCCGGTCTGTGTCTCCCA